GTCTTCCTAAACGGATCCAAAAAAAGTTAGTGCAAATGTTCTCCTACTTTGTTTGTGATCCCTGAGAGCTTCTGAATGGGTTCATCTGTAAACTGTTTGTACTGTAGTTTCTGTTGAATTTAAACATGATATGAACATTCGAGATGTGTAGCTTAAAAAGATAAATGAACAGTAGTGGAGACCCAGGTGTCAGGGTGGTAAGCAAGGTTTCTCCTTGTCCACACCTGTAATCACATGGATAGTCTACTTAAGACTACTCCATACTCCACTCCCTCAATCACTCAACCTCAGTCCATGTCTCATCTTCTCTCTTCACCCATCCTCCTTTATACATTAAGTCAATTTCCTTGTTTGTTTGTACTAACTTGGCCAATGAAGCTTCTGACTTTTACACACTTTTGTCAGTCAGCTCATCCTCCTTCTCACCCGCACTCATCCTCCTTGTATGTTTTAGAAACTTCTTCATCTCACTGATTATTTTGACCTCTGTTCCCATTAGTGATAGTCCCCATCCCACCAATCATACTGGTTTCTTTGGACAACTGTTTTACATCCCACACATTGACCTAACTGCTTATTATAAACCTTTTTTGTAACACTCATTCTCCCCATCACTCTTCTTGGTCATATTTTTCATACATCAACTTTATCCCCCTCTTTCACTCTATTTATCCCAGTGAATCACTTGATCTTTTGTGTATTAACTATTTTAAGCCACTCTTTCTTCTCATTTTGGCGTGATCCACTGTTTAGGAACCCAATTTTATCCCATTCATCCTTTTCATCCATCCTTTCAAAGCCTTCTCCTCATTATTTCCCTATTTTAAATAAAATTTAAATGTTAATGTTAAATATTACTATTAATTCTTGACCTGCTTCCTCCAACCCATCTCACCTATTTGTTTTTAAACTATCCTTCCTTAGCCCAGCTCGTCCACTTATATTATTCTATTATATATTATATTGAACTGGAAATCCAGTGGGGTTTTCCCAAACAGGTTTGAATCTTGCTCACAGCGATGTAAAATTGCCTGTTTAAGTGCTGCTAAGATCTAGAAAACAGTGTAACACACCTGTAGTGAGCCAAGTGTTGTGAAAACAGATCCAGATTTCAGGTTCTTTATCTTCCTACTTCTGTAAGAAGCCACTTCATTCATCTTTGCATTGGTCCCCATCCAACTCATTCTCCTGATCCTTTTTCATCTCACTCATCTAGTTTATCAAGTTTTTAGGAACCTGTTTTCATCCCATTCATCCATCTCATCCATTCATACAATGCCTTCTTCATCATCATTTCTCTATTTCAACCACATTTGAATTTATACTGTTAATTCTTGATGAGACTAATTATTGTCATAAAAGTACAGCTAAAATAGAGCACTGCAAAAAGTGTCCAAAGCTAATCAGTGTGTTCAAAGGCAGCCTGAAATGTTGCATTCAAATTTGGTTTAATGAAACCAGGTGCATTCAGGACATCGTCCTCCTTAATTTCTACCAACATCCGTTCAATTTATTGTTTGTCATTCCTATTTATCTTTCTAACGGGAAGCCTGCAGCCTTCAGCCTCCAGCCTTCCTGCAGCATTAGGTTTATGGGTTGCTCCAACAGGTCTAAAGGATAGAAGCTGAAGAGGACAGATGGCCAGGGTCATATCTCAAGAGGCGAGTATCCGTTCAAACCAGTGACTCCTGTTTCAGCCCAAATTTATTGGTACCCCTGGCACATCTGATTTGAAATGAGACAGGCATCAATGAAATGATAATAAAACATTGATTCTGTATCAGAGAAAAGTCGGGACTTTGGCTGGGCTGCTCCGAGTGTTAATATTATTTCCTGTTACAATTATCATGTTTGTAAAATTAAAAGATTAGTTTAAATCTGCCAGCGGTGTGAATAACTCTGGGCTTAACGGTACGTGAAATCATCACACTTGGTCATTTGTAACTAACATATTGATCAGTATAAGCTCAGAAAATGCTGCAGCATCTTCTCTCACTATGAGCAGTGAGTCACGATTGTATTTAAAATCCAACACCTGTACCACTGAGCAATCACAGCTGCACAAGCCCCTCACTGTATGAGATGTCAGGGTGTGGATTTATTTAGGACCAGACAAATGTGCTGATGGAAGGCTAAACTGTTCAGAGATCACAAGAAAGAGACCAGAGCTTGTTTGCTGTTACATTTCTGTAACAGCAAACTTGAAGTAGAAGGTTTAGAAGAAAGTTTCAGGAAAACATTGCTAGTTAATAGGAGAAGATACAAACAGCAAGCTT